CCCGCCACCTTAGGTATATGTGGCTGGCGCCTTAGCTGCTTGAGCCACAGGCGCCGAGCCTGTTTAATTTTTTGATGCACTTCCAAGTAGTAAACTTGGTTAACTATCCAGTTGGTACAAATTCATAATGAACAATCCTTCTGGTATCAAAAAAGGTTAGCAACATTGTTTTAACTTGTGATTTGAATTAATGGAATTGGCTGACTTCCACTGTGACTCTGACGCTTTGTTTCTGAGTTGTATTGGTACAACCATGTTTCATCACCAGTGATAACAGGGCCCAAAATATCATCTTGCCTCTCTCTAAAAGGTCTTATCAAACTTCGACTCTCCTTTGCTTTTGTTCATTGGTGAGCTCTATTCGGGACCATTTTGGCATATGCCTTTCTCATGCCAAGATTTTCAGTTAAGATTTTCCTATTTCTTGGCCAGGCACAGTGGCTCATCCCTATCATCTTAGTACTCCAGGAGGCTGAGATGGGTGGACTGCTTGAGTTCAAGAGTTCAGGACCAGCCTGAGCAAGAGTGAGACTCTGTCTCTACTAAAAAAAAAACCTAGCCTAGCCAGGCATCACAGCAAGTGTCTGTAGTCCTGGCCACTTTGGAAGGTGAGGCAGGAGGATCGTCCAAGCTTAGTTGGTCTGTTATGCTTCCCAGCCAGCAGATGATTTTGACACATTTTTGTAATTCTTTTATCAGTTCTGTTTTACTGCCATCCTGAACTCTCTTTATCAGTGATGCATTCTCTCCTCACAAAAAAACGTTTAATCCGTGTGCATATTGCTGTTTTCTTCATGAACTTGGACTACCATGTCCCTGATTTCAACTCCACTCTTGCCACTCTTAACCAGAAATTTAATTTTTGTTCATTGGTCTAATTCAAGCCCAGATTTTCTCACGATGGCACACAAAAACACACAACAATAATGAATGCCACTCAGCAAGACACTGCCATACATTGACACGAACACATCTGTGAGAAACTGATATACCAATGTTGTGAAATCTTACTGAGTTGTTTGTACTATGCTGCCACCCTAAGCACACGGTGGCAAGTTTGTGAACTTAATTGTCTGATCTTGTATGGAGAGATGACAGATGCAACTACCTTGAAGTAGATCTACTGGCAAGCCTTCAGGATAAGCTAAATCTATTCTTTTTTTTTGGAGACAGGGTCTTGTTTTGTTACCCCGGCTAGAATGCAGTGGCATTATCCTAGCTAAATGTAACCTCAAACTCCTGGGCTCACGTGATCCTCCTATTTAGCTTCTAAAGTAGCTGGGACTACAGGAGTGTACCACCTTGCCCAGCCCAATTCTATTCCTTGAGGACTCCTGAACTTGGATATACTATCCTGGAAAAACCAACGGCAATGATAGCATTGGGACAAACAGAAATGATGAATCTCTCAAAAATTAAATTCATATAAAATGTTACTATATGGAAATAAAACCTTCTAAGCAATGGCCTCAAAGTGGGAAATGGTCAAAAAAAGCAAATAAGTGTATTTCAGTTCTTCTAGTCTGCCTTTTTTTCTTGAATACAATTGAATACAATTTTGGTAGAATATGTGATATCTATATATCTACTAATAGTGTGATGAGTGATTCCCTAATTCATCTTATGCCTCAAATGATTTGTTTAAAAAAAAAACAAGATATCTTCTGTTTTCATAGAATGATGTATATTTTCTCACCTTTGTAAATGTTCAGGGTGGCTCAAGCAAGACAATTTTGTTTTCATTAAATATACTGTAATGAAATCCTGCTTCTTTTTTTTTTTTTTTTTTGAGACAGAGCC